AAGTGACTTGCCCAGGTTCAAAGAGCTAGTGTCTGAGGCTAGATTTGAACTAAGGTCCTCACTGCATCATCTAGCTGCCCCAACAAAATGAAGCAGGGTACAGACTAATAGTTTTGTTAAGATAACTTATTGTTCACAACAAACACTCTTTTTCAACAACTCAAAAGGCAACTCTACACACGGACATCACCAGATGCTCAATACTGAAATCAGATTGAACATATACTTTTGGCATCAAAGTGGAGAAGCTCTATACAATCAGCTAAAATAAAACCTGGAGTGGACCATAGCTCAGATCATGAGTTTCTCACTGCAAAATTCATACTTAAATTGAAAGCAGAGAAAACCATCAGGCCATATAGGTAGGAGTAAGAATGTTAGAGGAAAAAAACTGCTAAGTAAGTGAGAGTGAAGAAAAAATTGGAAAGGGAATTAGCTTGGCAGAAGAGGTACAAAACCTTGCCCAAGAAAAATAAAATTCCCTGAAAATTAGAATAGCTCACACAGAAGCCAGTAACTCCATGAAAAAAACCAGATATAGTAAAACAAAATCAAAAGAAAAAAACAGAAGAAAATTTAAGGTACCTTATGGCAAATACAACTGACCCAGAAAACAGATTGAAAAGATATAATTTAAGAGTCATTGAACTACCTGAACACAAGTCAGTCAATAAATATTTATTAAGTAGTTACTATGTGCCTAGCACTGTACTAGGTGCTAGATTTACAAATAAAAACAAGTTTAGCCCTTGTCCTCAAGGTGCTTACAATCTAAAGGAAGCTGAAAAGTGGGGTAGAGGTGTTTAATCAAGAGGGGAAGTGGGTACTAATGAGATGTGTACCAGATAGATTCAATCTTGCAGGATAATGAGATTTCCCAATAATGAGTTTCCTGAGGAAAGAAGGCATGCTGGAGAAGTCCAAAGAAGTACAAATGCAGTGTGGCTGGGATTCATGACCCTGACCAAAAAAAGGGCCTAGACATCATATTTCAAGAAATCATAAAAGAAAACTACTTCAGAACCACAGGGCAAAGTGGAAACAGAAAGAATCCACTGGTCACCTTCTGAATGAAACCCCAAAATGAAAACTCCCAGGAGTTTTCTAGCCAAAATCTAGAACTTCCAGGTTAAAGAAAAAATATTGCAAGCAGACAGAAAGAATTTAAGCGCCAAGGAGCCTCAGTCAGGATAACACAAGATTTAGGAGCTTCCACTATATAGGAATAGAGAGCTTAGCATAAGACATTCAAGAAGGCAAAAGATAAAGGCCAATAATAGCAAACCAAGAACAACTTACCTACTAAAACTGAGTAAAATCCTACAGGGGGAAAAAAATGGACCTTTAAAATGAAATAAAGGGTTTCCAAGCATTCCTGATGAAAAGAACCAGAGCTGTAGAAACTCAGATGAACAAATCCAGGAATATTAAGAGAAACATAAAAAGATAAACTGAGCAAACAATCTTATAGAATTAAATAAGGGTAAACTACTTACATACTAATAGGGGGAGATGATATGTGCCCTCTCTGGACCTTAATCATCATCAGGGGTCATAAAGAGTCTAATGTTAAGATAGAAGGCTTGGAGAGGAAGGTGCTATTATTATCTCCATTTTACAAATGAGGAAACTGAGGCACAAAGAAGTTAACTGATTTGCCCAGTTGGCTAGAAAGTAGCTGAAGCTGCATCTAAATTCAGGTTTTCCTGACTCCAAGTCTAATACTATCCACTGTACCACCTACTGGCCTTTGAAGAAGGAGAAAAGGAAATAAGAATGAGGACAGATTGGGGGATAAGTCCCAGTCAAAACAAATTTTTTCCCTTTTTTTCTCAATTAAGTGAATGGAAGAGAGAAGGAGAGAAGGTAGATTTTCACTAACTGAAAAAATTTTTTTAATAAAAATAAAAATACTTAACCTGTATAGTCAATGTTAGGGCCAGCTATGATACCAAACTAGATTTCATGAATAATTTAAAATTCTCCCTACCCTATACCAGAAGGTGCAGTTTGAACAAAATGGAGATAACTTTTAGACTACCACATTCTAACAAATATCTTCATGCTGCATTGAAATGGAAAAAAATGCTAGATTTGGGGTCAGAAGACCTGAGTCGAAATCCTGCTTGTGCCACTTACTACCTGTGTGATGTCTGACAGATTGCCTAACATGTCTATCCCAGTTTCTTCAAATGCAAAATGAAGATAATTATATAATTATTTAGGAGGCAATTTTTTAAAAATTTAAAACAAGCATTAATGTTTTTAACACCCAAAGCCACTAAAAAAAAATCTAAGAGAAAAAAGTTAAATCAACATAGTTTTGTGACCTATGAAGATTCAATTTGAAAAGAAAAAATCTAAAGTTCTACTTAGATCAAAAAAATCCAAATAATTACAAATCAACTCTCATTCATTTCTTGCACTGTTTATTTCCTATTTGGTTAAAAATCTGTCTTGTCCACAAAGTTTAATACTGTAAAAACTAAACAATGATAAAAGAAATATAAAAACAATTCAAGTTTAACCTCATACCCCAAAAACTGGCAAAGAAGATAAAAGATGGAAATCATCAATAGCATGTGAAGAAAAGAGTTGTGGAAAGACAAGCACAGCAATATATTTTTGATGGAATTCTGAACTAGTTCAATCATTGTAGACAGTAATTTGAAATTTTGCAAAGAAAATGACTAAAAGGTCCAAACCATGTGATACAGAAATTCCACTTCTAGGAACATTTATTTTATTTTACCTAGCATTTACACAGCACTATTAAGATTTGCAAACTTTACAAATACATTATTATCTCATTTTATCCCTATTACAACCTTGAAGGCAGGTGTTATCATTCCCATTTTATGGAAGAGCAAATCGAGGCAGACAGAGATAGTAATTTGCCCAAGGTCACACACTTCTTAAATGTCTGAGGCTAGATTAATTTAGATCTCTTCTGACACTAGTTCCAGGTCTCTTTATCTACTGTGCTAACTAGCTACATATTCTTCAAGAAAACCAAAGATAAAAAAAATAGTCCCATATAAGCAAAATATTTATAGCAGAACTTTTTGTAGTAGCAAAAACCTGGAAACAAAGTAGACACTCACTAACTGGAAACATCTAAAGAAAATGTGGTGCATGAATAGAAGCAGAAAAACAATATAAACAACAACATAATTAGGACAACAAAATGTGGAAACTGAATGCAGAGTGATTATAGATCATAACACAGAAATAAAATTTGCAACAAAGAAGAAATGTGAGAATGCATCTCACTGCTGTTTTTGCAGGGATGAGGGACTATGAATGTCAAAAACTCCAAGTGTCAGACTTTTTTGCAATATTGGTTAGTTTTGTTGAATTGTTTTTTTTTCCTTTCTCTTTGTTATTATTTGTATAAAAGGTGGCTGGGGGTGGAGGAAGCATTGTAAAAGGCAGGTCCTGTAAAAACAAATAATAATTTTTTAAAAACCCAAACCTCACTACTGTGCAGAGTTAAAAAAAAAAGACAAAAAATGTAGATGTAAAGGAGGCTAGGAAAAAAGGAAGCATCAGTACAGAGGCTATGGATACTCAACTGCTACAGAGTCTTTATCCAGCAGACTTTGCTTCCACCACTACTTATCATAGGACTGCATCAAAATCTCTACCAGCTGTCTACTTCCAGCTGGACCACTAGATGCACAAGGATCAAGACCTGGCCAGGCCCCAGCATTTATTTACTAGCTATGTCACCATAATCTCAGCTTCCTCATACGTAAAATGAGAGTTATATTATAGATCCTTTACAGCTTTTTACATTATAGGAATGTCAAGAGGCAGGCAATGAGGTGACTGACTGAATCCCAAACATACCTTAAAACTGGGCTTCAACGATGCAGGACCTCAAAACTGGTGCTCCTTTGGTAACGTTATTTCTTTTTTTTTTTTGGTAAATAGTATTTTATTTTTTCCCAATCACATGTAAAGATAGTTTTCAACATTAATTTTTATGAGATTTTGAGCTCAAATATTTTCTCCCTCCCTTTCTTTCCTCCCCAAGAGGGCAAGCAACCTGATATAGGTTATACATGCGCAATCATGAGAACATATTTTCACATTAGTCATGTTGTGGAAGATGAAACAAAAGGGAAAAGCCACCCAAAAAAAGTGAAAATAATTGCTTCTGTCTGCATTCAGACTCCACAGTTCTTTCTCTGAATGTGGCTAGCATTTTCCAACACGAGTCTTTTGGAAATGTCTTGGATCATTGTATTTCTAAGAGCTAAGTCAATCATACTTGATCACTGCACAGCGTTACTGTTACTGTATACAATGGGTAACATTTATTTCTATGAAGCTTTTCAGGATGTGTGAATAAACACACTAGAGAGCACAGAACTTGGAAGGAAGAAATACCTAGCTCTAAGACTCTGACCACATCGCTTAACGTCTACTAATCAACATCTCTGAGCCTGTTTCCTTCTCTGTAAAATGTTACTAATGACAGCATCTTACTTACAGTCAACATTTATTGTGAGGATCAAATAAGAACAAAGTTTCTTGAAGGAAGGAGCTGTTTCATTTTTGTTCTTTATCCCTAGCCCAGTGTCTGGCACTGAGAAGGAGTTTCATAAATGCTTGTCCACTACTAACGTACACAAAGTGCTTGGCAAACTTTAAAACGCTATGTAAATGTCAGGGACACACATACATCGTCTTTCATTCCATCCCTCACTGTCCTCATCTGTCCTTCACACAACACCGGGACCCTTCTCAGGTTCAATCTCTGGGTTGACGCCTAGGTTGTCCCAGACTCCCCAAGTCCTCTCTCCTGAGCTGTCGCCGGGGCCAGTGGCCAGAATGGGTTTGGGTGGGTCTGAAGCCTCGTCCCCATCCCTGCCCTGCCCCCCTCGCAGCCACGGCGCCGGGCCGGGCTCGAACCAGGGCTCCGAGTAGGCCGGAACCCGTGCAGCTGGGAGCCGGCCTCCTCAGGGCCCTCTCGGGGGTCGCCAACGTCTCACCTTCAGCGTCTGCGGAGGAAACAAAGGTAAAGTCCCCGTTAGTAGGTGAATAGAGCTGGGGCGGACCCGGAGGCGGCTGCATCTCCTCGCCCCGCGGAGGTGGCCACCGCAGCGGCGGCGGCGGCTGGGCCCAGGATCGGAGGCGGAGGCGGTGTGTGTGGCGCCGACCCTCGGACGCTTAAACTCGTCCAGGCCCCTCCACTCAAACGGCGGCGGCTTCTCGACCCCTCGAGCTGCGGTCAAGGAGGGCGGGGAAAGCGGGCAGGAGGCTGACAACGCGCTCGAGAAGAGCGGGGCCCAAACCCCGACCCGGGCCCTGCCCGTGGCGAGCGCCCAAACCCCACGACGCCGGCGTCCTGACAGGACCATAACACTGACAGGCGTCCTCCCATTGGTTGTTTGTAATGCGGCGGCCGATTGGCTGCCTCGAGGGGGGATACCGATTGGCTGTTCTAATTGTTGCTTCAGGAAGTTCTCCCCAGGGCTGGGCGAGGAAGTTTACTTCTGATTGGTGGAGACGCTGGGCTTCCCATCTTACTATTTCCAGCTTTTCTGTTCTTTTTTCTTTCCTTTGTTAATCTGGTGCATTCTTTCTTTTGGAGAGTCCTTTTTCCTTCGTTCTCTTCCTCTCCCATGTTCCATCCAATTTCATTCTGTCCTCTCCAATCTTTCACTACTGAGAACCTGTAATGAATTGGGCTGTTGTGGGAGCGTGGATCTTCTTAAAAGTGACAATGTGTTACAGAAGGAAGCAACTTAGAAATCCTTCTTTTACCCATCAGTCAATCAACATGCATTTATTAATCGACTGCAGAATACCTTGTAGGCACTAAGCGGGCTCTGGAGATAAAAAGTCAAAAACAAAAATACTCTGATCTCAAGGAGCTATCTACATATGAAACTCATATCCCCCAAAAGTTAATTTACATTACATTGCATAAGATCTTAGAATCTAGTCAACAAACATTATTAAGCTCCTGTTATGTGTCAAGCATTGTATCGAACTCAGGAAATTTTTATAAAAAAGTCACAAACAGTCTCTTCACGGAGCTTACAATCTAATGGGAGAGACAAGATCCAAACTATGATGTATAAACAGGATACATGCAGGACAAATCTGCATCTCAGGTCTGGGATCAGATCTCAAATCTGGAATCTCAGAGGAAAGACGCTAGCTAGCATTAAGGGAGCACAGGAACCAGGCTTATTTTGCGAGGTAAGATTTTAGGTGAAATGTGAAGGAAGCCTGGAGGTGGAGTAAGGAGAAAATTTCAGGTGTGGGGACATCCAGTGAAAAGCTTTAGAGTAGGGAGATGAAGTGCCTATGGTGAGGAATGGCAAATGAGCTGTATCTTAGAAGATACATTACATTAATTTATGTAGGATCTTAGAGCTGGAAAGGAGCCCAGGGGCCATATAGTTCTACCCTCTCATTTTACAGAGGTGGAAACACTAGTCCAGAGAGGTTAATTCACTGGCCCAAGGTCAAACAAGAAGGTGGCAAGGTGGGATTTGAACTCCAGGGCTATTGTCTGTGGGAGGGTGCCTTCTACAAAATGTAGTTAGTGGATGAGGTTGATGGGGTGCTCAGGGAGGACTAGTATTTTTGGTATGAGGGCTGTCAAATTTTTTTCAGAGCCGCTCATCTGCCTTTAGTGTCCACCTGCCAACCAGCTCTCACCTGTGGTTCCAAAAGAAATTGAAGCATGCACAGCAGCCATACCCCCATAAAACAATCTTAGCAGATTGGCTAAACCAAGTTGAGAGTGAGTAAGTTATGGACAGGGTGAGTTGGAGGAGTGTCTACCCCAAGTATGCAAAGAATAGGTAGATATGAACATTTTTGTTTTGATAGGCTATGCAGGTTGTAGAAGCAGGCATTGTGGAGCACTTAAAGCTTCGTCAGACACCTAAGATGCCAAGGTCATCCACTGCATCACCAGAGTCATTGCCAATCATTTTGACTTTTGACTTGCCACTGGACTCTGATGACTCTGGAAGAGAGAGAGAGGCTGACAACTTCACTCAACTCTGCCTCACTTAAATCAAATTTATTCGGGAGTCAAAAGGCATCACCCATACCATTTTACTATTTCATTATTTTATTATTTTTCTATTAAATTATTTTGCCATTTTATTATTTATTATTTTACTACATTACTATTTTACTTTCTTGCTATTTTACCTACCTCAAAGTCCTGTGGTAATGGCTAATGATGAAGCAGCAGGTGCAGACACACTTCGAGCTATAGTCACAACTCTGCACATGCTCAGGGCAGGCTATAGGGTCATCTTCTCACTGGGCTTCTCAATAGCCCCCTGGGTATCTGAACAGCCTTCTTAAGGACCACACTGGTCACCTCCTGGTGTGAGGAAGGGGCTAGAAATTGTCTGGTTCACCTAACCTTGGCATGCTTACTGAGGCAGGTAGGGAATTTACCCTGTGGCCAAAACACAAAAACACGTACAAAAACTTTTATAAAGATGATTCTACTCATCATTGGTACATGCAAGATGGCACACTTACAGACAACAAGAAATCCAGTAGACCTGAAAGATAAACAGTTCTTCTTGCTAAAGAACTCAGCACACATTAGCAGCTCTGAATGAAACAAGGCTGGTAAATGAAGGCCAGCTTACTGAGATTGAACTAGATACACGTTTTTCTGGAGTGGCTGCAGTGATGGGGAACACCTTGAAGCTGGCATAGATTTTATAATCAAATCTAATTTAGCCAAAGAGCTTGCAGACCTCTCAAAAGGAGTGAATGACTGGCTTATGACAATGTGATTGCCACTTACAGGAATCACATCACCTTCAGTGCATATGCTTCCACTATGATGAACCCTGATAAGATCAAAGAAAAATTTTATGAAGACCTGGAGATTTTCATCATCACTGTGCTAAAAGAGGATAAGCCCATGATTCGGGGTGACTTTAACACCAGAGTAGGCACAGACTGTCGGACGTGGCAGGGAGTCCTTGGGAGAATAGAATCAGAAACAGCAACAGCAATGCTGATTTAGTATTGAAGACTTGTGCATCTCATGACCTTCACTTTGGCAAAACTGTTTTCCTTTTATTTAGAAGCAATAAAACTTCATGGATGCACCCTTGCAGCAAACATTGGCATTTAATAGACTATGTCATTGTAAGGTGAAGAGATAGACAAGATGTGAGAGTGACAAAGGCAAGGTGTGGTGCAGAGTGTTGGACCAAACATAGACTTATCCTCTCCAAGCTAAACATTCACATTCAACAAGAACAGTGACTCCAAGTCATGATAACTATTAGAAGACTCAACATCAATAATTTAGAACACTTCTCCATGCGTGAACAGTTTGTTACTGACTTGGAGAGAAAGCTGAGCCAACACACTGTTGGTAACAGTGGAACAGAAAAGGAGAGGGCAGCTTTCAAAGATTTGGTGTACAGCATTGCATTTACTCATTTGGGTCAGAACACTTGTGAACATCAGGATTGGTTTAATGAAAATGACGGGGAAATTCAGAAGCTACTAAATGAAAAATAAGAATTCTACAGGGTCTAAAAAGGCAATATTTAACTCCATCAAAAGTAAAGTGCAGACAAAACTTAGAGAGAGGCAGGATTCTTGGATCAGTAAGAAGACAGATGAAATTCAGTTTTATGCTGATGGTAACAATGCAAATTATTTTTACAATGCTCTGACGGCTATTTATAGGCCAAAGACTTTTGGTGCATCTCAACTACTCAGTGCTGATGGAGCCAGACTGATCAGTGGTAAGGAAATGAATGATCCTGGAGAGATGTGCTAAATACTTCCATAGTATTCTCAATAGACCATCATTAATCAATACTGAAGCCACTGACCATTTACCTCAGGTTGAAGTCAATCCCTCTCTAGCTGAATTTGTAATTGAAGATGAGGTTTTGAATGCCATTAGCCCCTTTGGCGTGGCAAAGCATCTGGTGTTGCCCATCTATATAAAGGAAAAGGAAATAAGTTGTCCTGTGGGGAGGATGTCTCTTTCTTACTCCTTGCCAGGAAGATTCTTGTCAGAGTTCTCCTTAATAGGCTGATCCTTCACCTGAAAGATGGTCATCTACCAGAGAACCAATGTTGCTTCAGAAAGGGCTGAGAAATGGTTGCCATGGTGTTTGTTGCTTGACAACTCCAGGAGAAATGCCAGGAGCAAAACAAAGGTCTATACACAATGTTTGTAAATCTGACCAAGACCTTTGATACTTTTAGTCATGAGGGCCTATAGAAGATCAAGACAAAATTTGGTTGCCCAGAGAAGTTCATCAGTATTGTATACCAGTTTCATGATGACATGCTTGCATGGGTTCTGGTTAATGAACAATACTTTCAAGTTTTCCCAGTTATCAGTGGAGTGAAGCAGGGCTATGTGCTTGTTCTCAAACTTTTTAGCATAACGTCTTCAACAATGTTGTCAGATGCCTTCAGTGAGGACAAAAAAATTACATCAAGGTCAACCACCACACTGATGGTAAGTTATTTAACTTGAGAAGGCTACAAGCCAAGACTAAAGTGAAGGGAAAGTTGGTGTGTGACTTTTTGTTTGCAGATGATTGTGCATTCAATTCAGCCTCTGAGGCCAAGATGCAACAAAGTATAGATCAGTTCTGTGCTACTTGTGCTAATTGGGGCTTGAGAATTAACACCAAGAAAACAGAGGTCTCCACCAACCAGCATTGCACCATCCACATGTGGAATTATCAGTTACAGCAAATGGAGAAATTCTGAATGCTGTGTATAAGTTCACTTACCTTGGCAGTATATTTCCTAGGAATGGATACAAAAGATGATGAGGTTGACACACACACATTGTCAGAGTTAGTTTAGTGTTTGGATGGCTCTGAAAGAATGTGTGGGAGAGAAGACGTGTTAGGCTGCTTACAAAACTGAAGATCTACAGAGCCATTGCACTGACCTCATTGTATGCCTGTGAAACCTGGACAGTCTTCCAGTGCCATGCCAGGAAACTGAATTGCTTCTCTTTGAATTGTCTTAGGAAGGTTCTGAAGACTAACCGGCAAGATAAGGTATCAGACACTGATGTTTTCTCTTGAGCTGAACTGCCGAGCGTTCAAACTCAGCTACGGAGAGTACAACTCCCATGGGCTGGCCACATTGTTCAAATGCCAAATATGCTTGCCTAAAAGACTTTTTTACAGAGAACTCATACAAGGCAAGTGCTCATGTGGAGATCAGAAGAATCAGTACAAGGATACTTTCCAGGTCTCTCTGAAGAACTTTGGTATGTATTGTGAGACATGAGAGACATTGGCACAATACTGTCCAGCATGGCACATCAAAGAAGGAACTGTACTCTTTGAGCAAAGCAGAATATCAGTAGCTCAAAGACTCATG